TTCTCTTCTCATCAGCTTCTTGCTTGCAGAGTCAGCAAGAAGATGATCTTCGTCGCCGAAGGAGAAAATTCTGATGAAAGTGCCATTGGTTCGTGCAGCTACATGAACGTGATCAAATCAGGCTTCAGTATCAGAGTAAACAGGAGTTTCCCCATAGTGTGATTAACACAACGGGAGAGACCATTCGAAAGGGAACTGTAAGCAAATATTTGTTGCCTTAATGTATTTTAATTTTCAGATCTTTGTTTCTCTGAAATTAAAATGTATGACTGCAGATCACAAATCTTCACCAAATAAATAAATAAAAATGACAATGTAAAAAGAGTCCTGATGCTTTGTTTTTGTGTATTCAAGCTGTTTAAAATAGGCCAGTCTTCATTGTCCTTTTGCTGTAGTGATATTGTGCTGTCCTCTTGTGTTTACTTTGTCAAACTACACTCTAAAAAAATATGCTTCTTTAAAGGTTCTTTACATGTAGTAATGGTTCTATTTAGAACCATAGCACCCAGAAGAACCATTTAATGCTGAAATGCTTCTTTGAGTTTAGGGTACTTTATTCCTGCCTTTTTGTTTTTCAAATCGGTAACTGTCAAAGCACCTCATTATTGATTTTCTGGAGTTCAGAATCTCATACCCAGTCACAGCTATCCCATGACTTTATATCACTTTTTCCTTTTAACATTGTGAAGTGCTCACATGCTAGTTTTGGCCTTCATAAACAATTGTTTTTACATAAGCAAATGGAAGGAGACACATTGTAACTCTAAACTCAATTGTGCATTTCAGATGCTGTCACCTCCTACTTCCTCATCATCTGCAGAGAGAAACTGCCATTCAGTCACTCCCAAATACACATAATGATGGACATAAAGACATCATAGAGGATTGTGAAAATTATCAATATCAATTGTCATTTATTAATGTATTTTGTTAATAACTGTTGGTAGAGCACTGTCATTTTTGCAACAATTTAACATGTGATTAAAAAAAAAGTAAAAAAAAAGTGTGTAATTCACACACAATGCTGTTGTTGTTGCTTCTATGTAAAACCCTAATAGAGGCTACAATATATTTTATGACCAGGCAGAGGGGATAACAAACAATATTAATAAATGTTATTTACAAATAATATGAATAATACTAACATTCATGATATAAATATATTAATATACTAATATTAATGAAAATAAACTATCATTAAAAAGGTTATTTATAACACCATTAAGGTCTTATCTAACATTTGCAGAGCATGGTTCTTTATGGAACACTATAAAAGGGGGTTTATTTAGCACCAAGAAGGGTTTTGCTATAGTTACAAGCTGAAGAACTCTTTTTTGGTACTGTTTCGAACCATTTTTCTTAAGAGTGTACAATCAAAATGAAAGCTTTATTTCTCATTGCAAATCCTCATTTATTTTTTTCAATAAATAATAAAGTGATCAATAAATGATAAAATGTATGTTCTGTATATTGCCTTCATATCTTTGTTCTATTTCTATTTCTATTTCAAATAAATGTTCTTTTGAACTTTCTGTTCATTAAAGAACCTTGAAAAGAAACGTATCATGGTTTTTACAAAAATATTAATGAGCACAAGTGGTTTTGTATGGAAGCCCGTTTCCGCCACTGAATAAAAAATAAAAAAAGGTAATTGCGATTTTTTATCTCACAATTCAGACTTTTTTTCACAGAATTGTGAGATATAAACTCGCAATTGCGAGTTATAAAGTCAGAATTGCGAGATATAAAGACAGAATTCTGACTTTTTTTCTCAGAATTGCGTGATATAAACTCACAATTGCGAGACTTTCTCTCAATTGCAATTTTATATCTCGCAATTCTGACTTTTTTTTATAAAGTTATAAAGTCAGAATTGTGTGATATAAACTCGAAATTGCGAGTTAAAATCCAATTTTGAGGGGGGAAAAAGACTGATATGTTTTCAGAATTGAGAAAAAAAGTCAGAATTGTGAGTTTATATCTCGCAGTTCTGACTTTATTTCTCAGAATTACCTCTTTTATTTTTTATTCAGTGGCGGAAACGGGCTTCCATAGTTTTGACATTGTTTGTGAAAAGGAACGTTTCTTGAGCAAAAAAATGAGCAGATCGTGTGACACTAAAGATTGGAGTAATGCTGAAGATTCAGCTTTGCCATCACAGTAATAAATTACATTTTAAAATATATTAAAATAGAAAACAGTTATTTTACATTTTTACTGTATTTTTAATCTAATAAATGTGTTGGTGGTTTATAAATCATCATTAACCTAAAATAAGATATGCTGTAAAATATTGCACATTGCTAGTTAATAATATCCAACACACTAATTAAACTTTATTGAAGTGTTGCCAATTTTTGTGAAAATAGTGTTAAAAAAATAAAAATAAAAATAACTTATTTTAAATTGTAATTGTATTTCACAACATTACTGTTTTTACTGTATTTTGGATCAAATAAATGCAGACCTGGTGAGCATAAAAGACTTCTTTCAAAAAAGAACTATTGAATGGTAGTGTAACCAGGGCCGTGCACAGACCGTTTGAGGGGCATGTGCTGAAACTGCAAAAGGGCATATATATATATATATATATATATATGTATATATAAATAGGGTTTCTTAGGTCTATAGGTCTATATGTTATACACTATTATAATGACATATGGTATGGCTTTTAAAGACTACTTAATTTCTAAATCTCAATAGGTGGAAGTCAGGACTAATAGACTGTAAAGCAGACAGATGTAAAGGGTGACCAATATCACTGATTTATTGAAGGAAAAAAAAACACCATCACCAAAAAAAGGGCACTTCGGAGTGTAAGGGCAAAAAGGGCATGTGCTCTGCACAGGTTGAACCCTACCTGTGCACGTGCCTGAGTGTAACTATAAGGCAAGTACTACTTAAGATAGTAATACGGTGTTATACAAGACAGCATGGGCAATGCAAGAAAATGGTGATGACAAAACATATAAGAGTGTGATTTCTTTAGATGAATATGTATTTGATGATTTTTTCCTCTGTTATACTGCATTATCTCTGTGTTCATTGTAAGAAAGCCATTGCTTTGTATATACCCTTACGAAAAAGAAGTTTATTCAAGTGTGCTATTAGTATACTTCTTTTAAACTAAAAATAGGAAAGTATGCTTTTAGTCTACTTTTTATGTACTTTTCAGAAATGGGCTTTATGTACTTCTCAGAAATATACTTAAAATGACATTTAAGTATACTTGACTTATACTTAGAAAAAGTCTAAATATATTTGAGC